AGAAAGTCTCAGGGCTCCTTTTCATTATATATTGTTTTTACTATGAACTTTTTTCAGTAAAATATGTTCATTTCAGAGACTAGTTGTTAGTCTACATGGTAACCATAGAACTGCATCGTATGAAATGTCTCAAAATATATAGGTGGCATGACCACCCGATCGCGAAGATCGACATGACTGGATATTTCTTTGATTGGCATTCTAGAAGGTGGGTAGATGAAGATTTTTGGTTTCGACGTAGATTTCGTTGTCAACAACGACATTAGAATCGATGTCGAAACGTCCCCTATGTAGAATAAAGAAGTTGTATATCCATAAAAATAGTCCTCATTCTTCAGGTCTGGATATTATTTGTAAATTGTTATGACATGCTGTGTACTTCCCCAGTATATTTGCCCTAAAGGATTATCTTATCTTAGCTAATATCTCTATCCCCCAGACCGACCCCCAACGATCGTCTGCGACACTCGTCCAGGTTTTGCTTTTGAGACGAACCCTCCTATCTGTTTCTTTTTATAGTGACAGTGAGACTCCATGGTAGCTACATCCTTAATAGTTTCAGCATGAAAGTTATTACTTTTTACGCCAGCTATCGTTTATAATGAAGCTACGTCTAATTTCCAATTGGGCATTTAAAAAGTGTCATTTGTAATACAATATCGTCGCACACTAAGCCATGGTCTGTTCCAAATAAATCGTTTTGGACTTAAAAAAAACAAACCCGCATTGCTTATTTCTGCACTAATCTCTCCTCAGTAAAGTCCTTTTTCTACGTTTCCTATGTCCCTACCACTGAGACTGTAGATAGGCCGAACTTAGTTTAACAGATATTTCACACTTGCACGTATCAACTACAAAAATTGTAGAGGTAAATGATCAAATACAGTTGTTTTTTTATTTCCGACAGTACTTTAGTTGAGAGTACAACAACGTGCAGTAAAACTTGGACAAAGTACTGTGACTATGTGTCCCAGTGCACCCAGTTGTTAATGGGTACTTCATGAGGATGGGAAAGCCACATTAACTCGGTGCGCCTAGTGGCTGCAAGTGAGTTGACATTGATACGATGTGCCGTTTAAGTTTGACATCCAGTGAGCGTGGGTAGAATTAAAGCGCCTTTAAGCAGCTGAGCTGGATATTGGCGCTATACAAATGTAAAATAATAATAACCCCGGTAAAGTAGTTAGGTTGAGGGCAGGTAGGGTAGTGGTTGTTTCTTTGCCTAGCCCATGTTGTGTGTACCCTCTCAAGAAATCCCCTAAACCCTGTCAGTCAAACCTTCGCTGCCAAAAGGAATTAAACTCGCGAGAGGTGATCTAATACCATTTTCAAACAGGATGTTGTAAATATAGATTTGGTTTTGGTACCATACGTTTGCACACGGGCATAAAATCATTACCGAAGGTATTGCCTGTGCAGCCAGCTCACAAGCACAACATGCATTTCCGCTCTTCACCAGACGCCTTTTGAACAGCCTAAATTACCGCAGATAGTTGTGAGGAGAGCAGTAAGGTCTTCGATCTCCAGGCACATTTCTTCTACTGCTCTTGATGGAGTGTACATATTTGGCAAGAGGTGGTCCGCACACACAGATACTGCGTAGTTCCAGTCTATAACTATGAGCGCCCTACTTAACGCAGTCGGCAGTGGGCCTGATTAAATTCCGCCATCAAATACATTTAATTCCAACGTATATGGATAGCTATACTGGTAGGCGCAAATATTCCAACCGAAAATTGATGTGACTTCGTGTTGTAAGTTTACTCCTTAAAGAAAAACTATTTTAGTTTGACAAGTTGAGTTATTTAGAGGTGAAATATGATGATCATTAATAGCCTGTACTGATATGTGGAATCAATATCGCCCAATATTTGAATATTTATCATAAATTATAACATAAATCATTTTTAAAATGGTGTTAAAATCATAATTTGGGGATCAAGTTTATTCTGGTTTGTGCAGGGAAGTCGTACGAGGACTTGTAGTTGTGTTTCAGTATAAGACAGGGGTGCAGAGACCGTAATTCACCGAATAAACTCTATATTATAAACACTTGTTATTTTAAAGCATTGGTTCCTGATGGATACACTTCTAGGAGGAATTTTCATCAAGATCGTGTACCATTTGTTCTCCATCTGAAATGGCTTGGAGTAATCAACATAACCAAGAATAGGAGATGATGTCAGGCGATGTCGCAATTCTTGAAAGGCTTTTTCCTGAACAGGTCCACATATTGGTTGTACTCTGTCAACTTTGTCTTTCCTGGATTTTGATTTCTTTGAATGTGTCTTAGGTATCAATTCCGATAGAGGTTTAGCAATTTCCTAGAGGTTTAGCAAGTCTCTTACAAATTTTCTATGATATCCGACAAATCCTAAAAACTTTCTCACTTCCTCTGGACTTGTTGGTCTGGGCCAATTTTGGTTCTTTTTAGTCTTTTTGGGTCTGCCTCAATTCCAGTTTCCGACACTATATAACCAACTTATTTCACATGGTGTCTGAAGAATATATATTTCTTTGAGGCTAGTTTCAGTCCACATTCTCTAGTCTCGAAGTCTTAGAGAAAATAATTAAATGGTCAATATACACGAGGCAGATTTTCAGAGGTAACCTGAGAGGCAGTTTTCCATAAAGCGTTGGCAGGTTGCTGGGCATCGCAAAGTCCGAATGCCATCCGAGTGAACTCGTGGAAACCCAATGGTAAATGCTGCTCGTTCTTTGTGTTGCTCTAGTATCTCTACCTAGTATCTCTAGTATCCAGACTTCATATCAGGCACAGAGAAGTATTTCATGCTGCCCAAACAGTCTAACAATTGGCAGAGCATAACATTCTTTCAAAAGTTCACGTTCCGAATTATCTGGCCACTGAAGACGATTTCGCCATTGCAATGAAGGAACCATGTCTGCATTCTTTATATACAGGCACAATGACAGTAACAATCATTTGAGTAAGCTTCACTCATTTTAGCTAATATAATTCCAGTTCACTCAAATTAGTTACTAGAAATTGAGCTCACTCAAAACAAATTGGTGCCTTGTAATTATTAAGTTCGAACACAGTCTGCCAAACGCTCATGCCCCCAAATGAGACTATGGGTGACAACTACTCACTGAAAACAGACTATAGCCGGCAAGCTAGCAGACCGTCCCTCTTAATCCGTATCATTACATCAGCTGTCCGGCAAAGTGGGCTATGACCCTTCTAGGCATGTTTTCATTTTGCCTACATTCCAATTCGCCTACAGTCTTAAAACAACATTTCATGGTCTGTTGACTGTTGATTACGCAATGGTAAGCTTGTGGCACCCCTATGATCTAAAGGTGGACTCTTCTAGTTGAAGTCGTTAATCCCTTTCATTTTATTTCAACTGAACTGAACTGAACCTGTCTACATGGTGCAACATGTGAAATATGGGTTGTCTACGTACCGTGCGGACACCTGTCTACATGGTGCAACATGTGGAATTTGGGTTGTCTACGTACCGTGCGGACACCTGTCTACATGAAACATATGAAATTTGGGTTGTCTACGTACCGTGCGGACACCGTTGCAGGCTCTGCTGGTCTGGATAATGATGACCATGCAAGGCGGCAGGGTGTGAGGAAATATATTTATTTCCCTAGTGTCGCTATGAAACTCTGTGGCATGACTCGCCTGTAGGGGACACGGAAGCATAGCCTTAAGCCTGTGTGGTTGCCGACAGTTAGCAGTATTTCTAAGGTGTAGCCTGTGGACTGATCTGAACTAGGGCTTCGACGAGTCCATATTTTTTTGGACTCGAGTGCTTGAGGGTTAGACTCGACTGGGACCCGAGTACTCGAAATTCATAGCTTTCAAGCAAACCATAGCGTAACTGGCATGACATTATAGAATATGTTTGATCAATATTGAAGTTGGTAACTTAGTAATACACGTTGGTAAACAATTAAAGTTTAAGGCATGAAATGTGTTCCCATCATGCAAGTTAACACTTACTTCTCTCCGACTTGATATATCGTCATTGACTTACATTTTCCATTGTTATAATAACGTAAAATCAAAGACAACAAAATAATTAAAAAAAAAACATATGCTTGATTATGTATACTCAAAATGACATTTATTTATTTAGTTTCATGGTAATGTTAAAACGTGAGTGTTGGGGAATTAGCTCGCTTGGCAAGAGGTCTGACTATACCAACCCACACACAACACAACACCTGAGTAAAATAAACAAGGAGTTTATTACACAGCAGTCACAGGATGATTTTACATAATCAATCAATAATGGTATGGTTTATAATTAATTATTAGAACATGTTAACACTGTAATCATCTATCAAAGTACATAAACATCACACTTGGATCCGTTACACATACTACATTAACCATGATACGCATTCAATACTCTACACACCAACCCAGTGGGCGTTCATACAGAACAAAACAGCATATTGCTCATAACGCAATGTACTAATTAGGATACACACTCTATACAATTCAGACATCACCCCATACATACAATAAAATGTACATTCTACAACAGTCACTAAACAACATCGTGTTTGCACGTAATGCAATAGTTAGGATACCCGACACATTCTCTTCAATCTAGACATCACCCCAGTGGGTGTTCATACAATGTGCATTCTACAACAGTCAATAAACAACATCCTGTTTGCACGTAAGGCAATAGTTAGGATACCTGACACACTCTATAAAATCTACAATAGCCACAAAACAACGTAGAGCTAATCATGATCACATAAACAATCCTAAACAGTAATACAGAGTAATTGTGAGATATATTAAACGACGCCACGTTCCACATAGACCTAACGGTTTCGCGGAGGGTCGAACATATAGTTAAGGTATCTGCAGTAGATTACGGTTAATATAGAATAGCAATGGTAAAGATTTGTCAAAGTAGAAGAAAGTAAAGTTTCTTACCTGAGTAAAATAAACAAGGAGTTTATTACACAGCAGTCACAGGATGACTTGTGACCGTGTGTCGTCCCTGTTTTATACCTGTTCCAGTTATCACAGATAATCCCATTTACTGATAAAGATGACGATAAGGTTGTTGTTGTGAACTTCAGTTGCTGTATCTTAATCCTATTGCCTAACTCGACTGACGATAAGGTGCCTACTGCGCATTTAAGAACTCTATCTTGGCAGGGTTGTCTAATGGTTTTGATAAACGTCGGTGTGGATGAGTGAAGTTCACACAGAATTTGATTAGCCTATCTCTATCTGCCGACACATACAAGATACTGGTGTCGGACGTTCGTTATCATTGTGACCCTTGGCGGCTTGCAGATTGTGAAACGTGGTTAGTTAGTCTGTAACATTTCCATATTTCAATAACGTATGCTGTCATAAAATATTTTAAAACATTGTGCGTTTCTCCCATGTTAATAGTATCCCCCTATTATTTTAAAATTTCGTCCCGAAATTTGTATGAACAAAATGCACTATGCATATTTACACAACGAGAGATGGGTAAATAGAAATAGCTGGCAGTGACCCTGCACGTTTCACAGAGACAACTGGCAGCATGTACCCATGATGATTAATTAATCTATACGCACAGAATGGCCTCTTTGAAATTGGGTGCAAACAGCAGGCCGTTCTGAATGGCAGTAGAAATGAAGAAGGTAACGTGACTGCCTTACCTAGAGAAACATCTTTGATCGTAAGCCCTGGCATATCGACATATAGTCTCGGTCGAAACCAACCTATTATCTGAAGATTGGTAATGTTAACTGGGGCCTCTATGTTGTACTGCATGATACATTTAGTAAGTTTGGCAATTGGTATCAAAAAGTATTTGGGACCATTTGTTATTTCCAATACGATAGTACAAAACTGTTGATAATTTTGACGGAACATCCTGAGAGCGAAGCACAATAAAAGGGAAAGACCGACTGAATTGTAAGTACAGTAACCATGGCATGGTCTAAGATAAATTCGATTGACTGTAATGCCGATAAAGGGTGAAGGGAGTGGTCGTGGGAATGTTATATTTGAATTGAGGAACTTGAACGTCTGCCTTGACCCTACTGGTTCTGGAGCAGTATGAGCAGGGTGGAGATTGTGCGTAGTCTCTGAAAGGTATATACAAAAGCAAGAGTAGATGCGCATGCCAAGGTTAAGGCAATAAGTGCCAGTATGGAGTCGAGGTTGGGCCACGAAGCAACAGGGATAGCTGAACCATCAAGGATAGGTTCAGCTAAATTGGTAAAGGCAATTGTACCAGTCGGGATAAACTCGGATGGTCTTTCTTATCTTGACTTATAACAGAAGTCAAAGAATGATTAAATAAGTGAAAGGGAGGCACGTCGATATTGATAGGTTCCCGGAATGTAGTATCACCACTGATAGATGCATATTGTGTGTCATTGAAAAAGGCCTGGATGAGTGCAAGATTCACTGGATGTTGAACGGAAACCGTTCTTTGAACATCTGAGCATGATGCCAAACGTTGAGGTAAATACAAATCCTTAGAAGAAAGGGAACATCTACAAGGGACAGAGAGCATGCAAAACGTACATCCCTGAATCATTCTTTGATGAGCATGACAATCAACAGCAAGTACATCTGATTCATAAACAAGTACTGAAACTGGTGTTAGTTCCTGAAATTGTGGAACAAGGTGGTTTATTCTGAACCTGAAGTTGCATAGTTTGCTCACATGTGATTTGTGATTGAAATATAGGGCAGAAACGCACGACATGGAGGACTTTGTATGAAATGCTAGGTTGAAGGGGGCAGGTTAACGTGTTACTGATTGAGCAAACTGCTAACTCAGTAGTAGACATGGTGGTGAAATAATCACTGGTATCAGTCTTGATAAAATAATCAGGTAGGTCTAAAATTTGGGAGGCGTGAGAAGATGTTCTATTTATTGGAACAGGGAATGATTTCACCTTATAGATGGACAGGGGAGATGAGAATGCTGCCAGAGGAATCTTTACAGTAATGTCCAAGAGCATTCGTTGTGGTACTCTCGGATGGTAGTTCAAGAGGCGGAAGACAAAAGTCAGCAGTATAGTTGGAAACAGCAGCAGCCATGTTTATTATGGTTGGGGAATAATGGTAGAAATGGTACATAAGATGCAAATCACGTGACAGAACGCACATCGGGACCGAGTGGCCAATGTTCCCGATGTGGAGACCCGCTCTGTCACTTACACGCATTCAGAAGTCGGACGGCGATTCTTCATCGTCGACGTAGTCGTTGGTGAGGCAGCCAGAATGGCGTCATGGTTTGATTTGACCCCATTTAAAACATTTGAAAAACGATCATTCTCTATTTGCATATAAGATGAGAGGTCATTTTCATGTTGCTTAAATGCTTTGGGCATTGCAGAGGTTTGTTTACTGAGAGATACCATATGGCGTCCGAATGTTTGTACATCACCTATTGTTGCTGTACCAAAAAGGGACCTTGCAAAGGATCCTACAAATCCAAAGATTGCTCGTCTTGAGCGGGATGGTAGGATAGGTGTTTCTTGGATAAGATCATACATTTGAGCACGGGTATTGTTCAGATAATGTGAGAACTGCGATTTAAAGGAAAACATAGGTGTGAAAACATGATGAACATAATGACATCTAGTTTCATTTGTCAAGCAATGGAATGCGAAGACTGGAAGATTCGTTTCAGGTAGAGGAATCTCAAAAGAGTGGAGCCAGGAATCACCTTAAATCTGTAGTGTCCCTCGATGTGTGAAGGCAATGCCATAATTTATACGAAGTACTGAGTCTTCAAGGGGTAGTGGTGAAGCAAGCAAAGGTTGGAAAATGACGACTATCAGGATACAGAAGATGTTAGAGATGTGCCTCTTTCCTAAAACAAAACACAAGACATTTTGAGTTACTTAATGTGTACACCAAATAGAACAGCATATAGGGTTTGGGTGAAATTGCTGCAGACAATTTCTAGCACTTGATAACTATGCATGATCTAGATGGTGTTGACATCGATGAATTTAGGTATGAAGACAATTCTCTAATCCCTGGTATTTACTTTATCTGGAGATATTTGTAGGGGCGTTTCCGTCTCTTACCTTTCATGGTGAAGCGTTCGTGAAAGATTCGCTTGGATTCTTCAGTAACATGTTCAGGGGGTTCCCATGAGGGTTCTGAGTAACCAACCCACTTGACTAAATAGTAACGTCTGCCCTATTGCATGCGTTGACGCAATAGCTTTTCAACTGGGTAGTACTGGTCACTTACCTTGGGTGATTGTTGTTCACAAACAACGTCTGTGGTCTGAGAGAGTGACTGATTGGTTTCCGAGTGTTCTCCTGATTGTGACGGGGTTATGACATCTTCAGGGCTACCCTGGGAATCGTCACCTACCTTTGATACCTGTTCCTCAAAATTATCATTTTAACCTGTTGGCATGAGTGCATGATAGTAGCTCTTTCAATGTTTCTCTATTTCGCAGCTGAACACTTACTGCTGATAAGATAAGGGCCCTTGTACTTTGGTTCGAGTTTGTGTGATCATTTCCTAACAGTGACTGGATTGGTCATCCAGGCGAGGTCACCTTCATCATACGTAGACTCTTTAGCCTTGGAGTCATAACATTGTTTCATTTTCTCCTGGACTATCTTCAAGTTTTCTGTAACTACTGTGTTAGCAATTTTCAGGTTATCCAATACCTGTGAGACATGTTCCACTGCATTTTTACCCAACGAGGTCTTTGGTAATATTGCTGTGTCAAAGTGAACATGCATTTCCTTACCAAAAAGCATGTGAAATGGAGAAAATCCTGTAGATTGTACCCTTGGTGTCATGCGGAATGCCGTTATTATCCCTGGAATCAAACTAGGCCAGTTTGAGTGATCAGTGTCACAATATGTGCGAAGGGATTGAAGGATAGTACTGTTTGTCCGCTCACAGGCGGAATTTGTCATTGGATGGTAGCTACTTGTAAGATGACGTGTTACCTGGATGATTTCACATAGAGCACTGACAAGTTTAGACGTGAAGTTACGACCTTGGTGAGAGACAATGGACCTTGGAGCACCATAACGACAGAATATCTCCTGTTATAAAACACGTGCCACTTCTGTGGCTTCCTAGGATTTGAGAGGGAATGCCTCCGACCAATGGCTGTAGGAGTCTACCACAAGAAGGATGTGTTTGTAGCCTTCAGGTGTCTCTGTCAATGGTCCAAGGAAGTCAATGTGATACCGCTCAAATGTCTCAGTGATGGGCAGTGGATGGAGAGGTGCTCTGTTAGGATGCCGTAAAACTTTGGAGACTTGACATTTATGACATGACTTGATGTAATCATGAACGTACTGATACATCCCAGACCAATAGTAATCTAGTTTGAGAGCCCCATACACTCTGTCAGCGCCAAGGTGACCACCACCTGCTTGAGAATCATGGTATGAGATCAGAGCATCCTTGCGGAGGCTCTTTGGAAGGGCTAACTGACGAATGAGTTTATCAGCTGCTTCTATCTTGCGAGTACGAGGCTTATAGAAATGATAAAGTACACCATTTAACATGTCGTACTCATGAGCAGTGTTTTGAATCCTTTTTCTCTGGTTCATATCTTGTGGTAAAGAACCGTCTTCAAGAAAGTTGATAATGCCTTTGAAATCAGCACACTGACGTTTTATTTCTCCGATATTCTCCAGATCAGGAGACGAGATAGTGGAGGTTGTCTCCATAATGGTATCCACCGCCGAGATAGATGGGGATGGAGTGTCATAGAAAAACGGAATTTCGAGGAATTCAGGTTTTGTATTGTTGTTGTCATTGACATTCAGTCATTGTCATTCATGTTCACTCTCCTAGGCCTTTGAACACTGTCATAGGTGTACTCTTGCAGTTCAAGAGCACATCTATGGAGACGACTGGTAGTGTGCTTGATGTTTTGCAACCAGACTAGGGCCTTATGGTCTGTAATGATTTTGAAGGGTTTACTCGTGAGATAAATTCAGTTGCACTTGACTGCTTCTACCACTGCTAGACACTCCTGTTCACTGACAGTCCATTTCTTTTCATATGAATTTAGAGATCTTCCCCCATATGCAATTACTCGTTCCCTACCCTGGTCATCTAACTGGCCTAAAACATAGTCGATTGCTGATCCTGATGCATTTGTGGTGAGGATAAATGGTTTCTGCATACCAGGGTAGGCCAAGACAGGAGCCTGAACAAGACTTTGTTTCATTTGTTCAAAGGCAGTTTGGCAAGTGTCCGACCAGTGAAAGGGGGTATCTTTCTGTAAAAGGGCATTTAGTGGTGCTGCTACTTTGGAATAACCCTTGAGAAATTTTCTATAGTAATTGCACAATCCAAGAAAGCTGCAAAGGTGATGGATGTTTTTAGGAGGGGGGAAAGTACGAATAGCTTCAGTTTTGGATGGATCAGTTCTGATACCCTTTTTGGAGAGGATGTGGCCAAGGTAGAGAACTTCAGAACGAGCAAAGTTGCATTTATCTGGCTTCAGTTTCAGATTAGCTGATCTCAAGCGATCAAAAACTGCTTGTAAATGGGAAAGATGCTCTTCAAACGTCTTGCTGTAAATCAAATATCATCCACATATACCAGGACATGTTTCCATGTCAAGCCTTGCAGGGCTCTAGCCATCACCATCTGAAATGTGGAGGGAGCATTGCGCAACCCAAAAGGCATAACACGCCATGTATATAGGCCACTCTGCGTGACAAAGGATGCCTTGTGAGCTGTTTCAGAATCCATAGGAATTTGCCAGAACCCTGATGCCAAATCAAGCGTGGAAAATATTTGAGCATAGGATCACCAATAGCATCAAATGCATCTTCCAGACGAGGCAAAGGATAGGAAGCCGGAACGGTAATCTTATTCAATGATCTGTAATCTATGGCAAAACGGAACTCACCCGATTTCTTCTTGACTAAGACCACCGGACTCTGCCATGGGGACATGGAGGGTTCAATGAACCCAAGGTCAAGAAGTTCCTTGGTCTGTCGATCAGTTTCTGCTTTGCCTTCAGGGCTCTTCCGATAGAACGGCAGATGAACAGATTTGGAGCCAGGTACTGTATCTATCCTATGTGAATATAGGTTAGTAACGCCAAGTTCAGTTTTGTCAGCAGCAAACACATCCCTGTTGGCTTTAAGAAGTCTAGATAAGTCTGATTTCTGAGTATCATTTAGATCTGCCTTGCTGAGATCAAAGTTTAGGTTTGAAGGCTTACCTTGAGATGTAGGAGTGGATCTGTCCTCCAGGGGGTGTATGAAGGCCACATCGACAGGGTGAGCAACTGCTATGACCTTGCGGGAGGGTAGGACAACTGGTTCGCTAGTTGGGTTCAAAAGAGTAAAACATGCCCTATCCTATTTTGACTGTACAAGACACTTAGCACCTGCCAATTTGCATGTGGTCAATTGAGGGACTGGTTCGCATGACTGATCTTTGTGGTTACTCAACTTAACGGGAATGGTGACTTGCATGTTAAGAGGTATAGTGACAGAGGCACAGGTACGTACAAGTCCTGAGCCAGTGGTTTGGAGAGGTACCATGACTAAACCGTGATGGGGGGCAAGAGTATGTGTTGTATAGTCTATAATGGCTTCATGTCGAGTGAGGAAATCTTGCCCTAGGATGATTGAATGTTGCACTGATTTGAGTACTAAAAGGTTGTGATCGATTGTCATACCACCAATGGAGAGGGAAATCCTAACTGACCCAAGTACCTGAATGTGCTCTCCCCCAACACCGCTAACATGTGAGAGCGTACTGTCCTGCATCTGGGACAGGGGAATACCTGCCCTTTTTAAAGTTGGAAGAGATAGAACAGACAAGGTGGCACCTGTGTCTACTAAGGCATGACAGCGAACATCACCAACCTTTACATACACTGTATTCTTAATCTGTGACTGGTGGGATATACTAGAGGATTTGGGGTTACTGGTATGCCTCCTGAAAGAATATTTATTCTTATGCCTAGGGGCTCTCAAGGCGTGCCTGCTCGTAGGCAAGGGCCTACCAACAGGCGCGAATCCCTATTGCTGATTCAGTCTTATGCGACATACCCTAGCAAAGTGATGTAACCCATGACAATAACTACATTGCTGATTTGAGGATGGACATAAAAATCTAGACCGACAATTGTTACCACAACCCTGGCAATTACCTGAAGGTTGTTTGTAGCTGCTTCGCGGTTGTTGTTGCCGTTGTTGTTGCTGCATAGGTTGTGCAGAACGACGAGTGTTGACCCTAGGTTGGTGAGACGGGTCCCGGCTGACATATCTGTTGACATTCTGCCTCTGGGGAACGTGGGCCATCTGAGCAGTCAACTTGTCAAGTTGCTGCTGTTGTGTTGTCAACAGAGCAGCGATGGTGGCCAGTTGACTGTTGTCAACCCCAGGTGACGTCACAGATGAGATGGATGGAGTGGCGCCCTGGGTGGCTTGAAGAGCTGTTTCAGCCAGTCTCACCTGATGTGACAATGCCTCCAGTGACTGTGGACCATGGGGAATAACTAATCCCTTTAAAGGAGGCTGCAGGCCATTGATGATGACCTGAACAAGGAGGGTCTCGGGGATCTGGAGGCCGACTGTCTTCTCCTGGACGCGTTCAATGAAGGCAGGCCCGGACTCGGTGTTATTTTGGCGGGCGGACAGGAAAGCCGTCTGTGAGGTGACATCGGTGAACCTACGAGTAAAGACGGCTTCGAATTGGGCTGCGGTTGTTGGGGCTGGATGAAGCGAGTCCAGCCAAGTAGCAGCGGGTCCATCTAAATACAATGGCAGGAGGTTCAAGTAGACGGAATCACTCAGTGATTGGTGCTGTCTAAGACAATCCATCTTCTTCAGCCATTGTCGGGCGTTGCCTGTACCATTGAATTTTGGCACCAGATTACTCACGTATGCCATATTGGGGGACTGAGTGTGATGCGGCACGTCTTGATGATGACCACCGTCTGTGTTTGGGGCTGACCCAATCCCGTCTCCGTTGATAGTTACGGGAGGATTAACACTGTCAGTGTTTGGGCCCGAAGCTATTGTTGTAAGGTCCTCCAGTAGTTCGTCAAGGCCGCTGGATTCTGTGACATTCGGAGGTCGGCTGTGGCTGTGGATGTGTCCGACTCCTGGTGTTGTAATTTGTGGGTTGGTATGTAGGCCGATTTTGATTCTCCACCACTTGTTAAAAGGCGAGTTGGGGAATTAGCTCGCTTGGCAAGAGGTCTGACTATACCAACCCACACACAACACAACACCTGAGTAAAATAAACAAGGAGTTTATTACACAGCAGTCACAGGATGATTTTCATAATCAATCAATAATGGTATGGTTTATAATTAATTATTAGAACATGTTAACAATGCAATCAGATATCAAAGTACATGTAGATTCGTTACACTTGACACATACTACATTCATCACGATACATATTCCAATGTACACAACAATAGTTCAATATTCTACACATCACCCCAGTGGGCGTTCATACAATCTACATTATGTGGCAGTCACAAGACAGCATAGTACTCACAACGTAATACAACAGTTAAAATATCCGACACACTCTATAAATTCTATAATAGTCAGAACAGTGTAGTGTCAAAGATCAGTATGAAATACACAATCCTAAACTGTAATACAGAAGATATGAGACATGTAATAAAACTATATCGCGTTCATACAGCATGTAAAACAGCATATTGCTCATAGGATACTAGTTAGGTACACACTCTATTCAATCCAGACATCACCCCATGGGTGTACATACAATGTGCATTCTACAACAGTCAATAAACAACATCGTGTTTGCGCGTAATGCAATAGTTAGGATACCTGACACACTCTATAAAATCTACAATAGCCACAAGACAACGTAGAGCTAATCATTATCAAATAAACAATCCTAAACAGTAATACAGAGTAATTGTGAGATATATTAAACGACGCCACGTTCCACATAGACCTAACGGTTTCGCCGAGGGTCGAACATATAGTTAAGGTATCTTCAGTAGATTACGGTTAATATAGAATAGCAATGGTAAAGATTTGTCAAAGTAGAAGAAAGTAAAGTTTCTTACCTATGTAAAATAAACAAGGAGTTTACAACACAGCAGTCACAGGATGATTTGTGACTATGTGTCGTCCCTGTTTTATACCTGTTCCAGTTATCACAGATAATCCCATTTACTGATAAAGACGACGATAAAGTTGTTGTTGTGAACTTCAGTTGCTGTATCTTAATCCTATTGCCTAACTCGACTGGCGATAAGGTGCCCACTGCGCATTTAATAAATCTATCTTGGCAGGGTTGTCTAATGATTTTGATAAACGTCGATGTTGATGATTGTGAAGTTCACACAGAATTTGATTAGCCTATCTCTATCTGCCAACACATACAAGATACTGGTCTCGGACGTTCGTTATCATTGTGACCCTTGGCGGCTTGCAGATTGTGAAACGTGGTTAGTTAGTCTGTAACTTTTCCATATTTCAATAACGTATACTGTCATAACATATTTTAAAACATTGTGCGTTTTCTCCCATGTTAATATGTCTCCAATGTTGTAGAAGACACTCCACTTACTGAGGAAAACAATAACCCAATGAGATATTGCATTCATGTCGGATTCAATTTTTTCAGCCCCTATCAGATGTGAACTTGAACATGCAAGGTCTGCGTCTATGTCAGACTAAAGGTCTACGAGTTGTTTAGCAGCACTGAGGCGTAATAGTCATATAGGCCTGCTCCAAACAACGGAATATATATCTTTTGAGAAGGACTTCTCCGACGGGTACAGCAATGCAACATTGCGAAAAAAAAAAATTCACTATTTTTCATTTCATGTCTCCCAGAATATATAATTTGATGGTCGAGAGTTTTTAATATCGTTCTAACTTAGTCGAATTAAGTCAAAATGAGCTGAAATTTGTGTCATGGTACTTATAAACATACACTCATTCATTTTCGCAAAAAGAAAATTTCATATTTTCATCCTTGGCATATATTCATAACAACTGGTTTAGTTTGGTCAAATCACTTGTCAGAAAGTACCAACAGTGGGGAGAGTTTCTGGACTTTTGTGAGTCCAGAATTAAATTGTGACGTGTTAATGACATTTGTTATACTGTTAACACAGCGATGGCTAACAGGTGGCAAAGTCTTGTCGCCGTCAGTAACATTTGAAACAGATACAAAATATTCATTTAATGTTTGAGCTTTATCCAAATCTGTAAAAACTGAAGGTATCCCAGAATCATCAGTGACAAGAAGGGGAGTGGGCCCCGATGAAGTACTAACCACCTGATTGAGTAGACTGAGGTGATAAATAGTTATCAAAATTAGAATAAAAGTTTCCCTTGGCTATTCTTTTCAGATTATTTACTTTATTCCTTTGCTTTTTGTATTTAAATAGCTCAGAAGTATTCAGAGATCGAAATGCTTTTTCCTTAGACGTTCTCATTTCTTTTAAGTATGTTACGAGGGGCGTTGAAAAAGTAGTCAAACTAACTATATTCTCGATGTCCAATGTTTGAAAAGAAGCTTCCATTTTATTTTGAAGGAATCATTAGCAAAGTCATATCCAAAATTTCATGTGGGTAGTGTGATTAACGAGATATTAGTCATCACAACATTGGGGTATTATGTTTCTTGCAAATTTGCAGAAAATGGATTTGGTATCTAGTAATAGTAATAGTCCGCTTATATGGCGCTCACATCCAGGCACATTGCCTGCAAACGGCACTATACGTACATTACTATCCCCGATCATAGGACACTATCGTAGTTTCCGATACTTTTTCAACTCCCTGGGGATTGTACAGCTATGCTGCATGTTAGGCGCAATTAACTAAACACTCACATTGCCAGCACATACTCACGGGTACCCATTTTACAGCTGGGTGAACTGAGACAGTGTAGATCTAAGTATCATGTCCAAGGATACTACGCAAATGTGCCCATCTCGGGAACCGAACCTCGGTGCCTCCTCGAAACAGGGCCTTCAGCGTGATAGGAAGACGCCTTACAACTGCACTATTGCGTTATCTCTTGGATAATGGTATACCCTCAGATAGTATCATATAAAATATGTTCAGCATAGTATTGGATGACTTCCCGTCATCATCAACATTCAAAGATTTGGACTGCTTGATTTACATTTAGACGGGGACTGGTTTTTTTAGGACACCCTTATTTCAAATTTTCAAAAACATTGTGTCCAGATATACAACATATTGGGAGCTGACACTTGTGTGACCATTCAGTATTTAGTTTGAACCCTTGACACCATGTATGAATAAGTGAAAACTTTAGGATTAGTTATATCTTTATGATGACGTCAACTGAAAGGGGGTGGGTACTGTCTCCGAAACAAGCCCTTTCAGTAAACATGAAGGGAGAGTCACTTGAACAAGCGATTATAGTTTAAAATTGCTTTTTTGTGCAGTTTAATATCTATTTTTGACTTTTACCAACATACAACATGTTTTTGCATATTTTGTTTCAATTGGTGTAGGGGTATTCCCGCCAATACACCTTGATATAAAATTGGATCAAAATCTATTAATTCTTTCCTAAGTGCGCAGCTACCAGGCTTGGCATGTGCAAAAATGTTACACCTTCGCTGTGACCTTTAAAATGACCTCAAGGTCACTAAATTCAAGTGGTGTCGGTAAATCTCGTCAATAAACCTTGGTACCAAATTTGAACAAAATCCATCATTTCTTTCTCGAGTTCTTTCAGTAAACCGAAGGGGGAGTCATTTGAACAAGCGATTGTAGTTTCAAATTGCCTTTTTGTGCAGTTTAATATCTAAGATTCTGGCCGACCTCTACCGATCTCAAACATACAAAAAATGTTTCTTGCATATTTTGTTTCCTGAAGTTTAATTTGTGATGCATTTTATTGCTAGTCAAATATGCTATTCCATTTGTCCAAACCACAACATACAGGGACAGATCATTTAGCAGACCGGGAGCTGTACTCTGGAACTGATTACCTGAAAATGTCAGAAAACGGAAAATATCAACAGTTTCCGATCTTGTCGCAAAACCATCCTCTTCAAACGAGCATTCGACTAAGAGCACATGAGTAGAACTCTGGATATGTAGCGCTATACAAATGTCTAATTTGATTTGACTTGATATACCCGTTAGAAACCCGTTCAACAAGCAGAAAATCGGTACCCGGTGGTATAAGTTATGTGACTATTAACCTTCTAGCGCCTCACAGGCAGCTTGGGTTATCTGGGCTAATAATGTCTATTATGCTGTATGTGTTTAGAGTATGCCAGTGCAGCGTGGAGTTTAGCGCTATATATGTGGTCTTATTATGTCTTTGGAAACTCAGATTATGCTGTGTTTGACAGATAATGCCGGCTCCATTCAATCAAACCAGTTTTAAATGATTCCTGAAAGTGATGGCATCTCTTGGTCACTTTATCAATACATCAGTGAACATCCGGGATCGAATTGATCTTCAGTAACCCAGGCTTATCACAAGAGGCGACTAACGGAATCGGGTGGTCAGGCTCTCTGACTTGATTGACACATGTCATCGTATCTCAATTGTGTAGATCGATGCTCATGGTGTTGATCACTTGATTGTCTGGTTAAGACTCAATTATTCACAGACCACCACCATACAGCTGGAATATTCCTGAGTGCAGCGTGAAACTAAACTCACTCACTCACTCTATCACTACAGTAGTTGTGTGCAGCTATATTTCTGAGCTGTTGTGGGTGTTTAGTTAGCATGTGTCAGTTCAGCACATCCTCAGTTGTGTACAACTGCATATGGTGAGCTACTGTACTCTGGTACTCAGGATTAACATAATATCTTCCTGCCAACTCTTTCTGTTGTTTGCAAAGAGAACATCGAAAAACATTAAAATCTTATTCGAAATGGTTTAAGAAATTGAAATCCTGTAACTCACTGACATGAAACAAAATACATGTTTTACATTCCCTGATTTTAAAATGAAGTTATTTTGTTGATTCCTTGCCAGGGATATGATGAGTGCTACCGCTGCCACCGTCCAGGACACTGGGCCCGAGATTGTCCTGATGACCGGTCCTTCGGACCACGGAGGTCAAGTAGAAGCAGTCGATACAGGTCACCATCACCAAGGAGGAGAAGGGGGAGGTAACTCCAGACATTGTCTGTTGTGTTATGTCATTGACAATGCAGTGATAGAGCCATGATATTCAAGTTGGAATATGCATAGTGTTTTATGTTTATTTATGGTTCGATGTAAACATAGTTTATGTAATACATGTAATAAATGCCACTGGAATGTGTTAAATTTAGAATGATTATTTTTCCTTATCCCGACGTATGCTTAATTGCTTGTCTTCTTCCTCTTGAGAACATAGTGGAACACTAGTATCTCCTTATTGAAGCTCCCTTCAATAAAGCGTACGTAAAATCACTAATCACTACTCACCAAAAGTTGTCCCTCCTTCCGTTTTGGCGGGAACTGGCGCCACTGTTCCCCCACATGCTTCACTCTCTCCTTCTTCGCCCAGTGAGCAGGTTGTGAGAGCGCCTGTGTCTCCTTACGGCACTATATCCTTTGATTAATTAGTTAGTTACCTCTATAAGTTCTTTATAGAGGTTTAGCTAGTATCCTTCATCAGTATGATTTGATATTTATTCGTATTTACAGTGTATTCCGTGTTTGTTCAGTAGTTTACGTTCATGAAAATCTGTTCCGTATGTAAGTTACGTTTCTCTGCTGCTGACCCGCACCTAATATGCCCTAGCTGCACGGTACCATGTTCTTTCAGCTCACGCTGCAATTATTGCAAGCATTTATCAACTTTTGCATTTAATAAATATCTTCTTTGCGTCCTGAGACGTGCCGCAGATAGATTGCGAAGGATTGATCCAGTCATAGATAATTCAGCTGAGTCCCTCACCAGTCAACTGCTGTAGGACAACCCCCTACCGTCTGGTGTTCCGCTGGAGTTTCCCTCGGAGGAGAGGCGTGGGACGAAGTCCGCCACCTCCAAGAAGAGACCTGCATCTCCAGACATCCTGTCGTCGCAGTCCAAGACTCGGAGGTCGTCAACCACCAAGCGCAGACTTAGCACCCCCAGGGCAGCGTCCACCACCAAGGGGAAGTCAGCGCAGACTACTAGAACTTTCTCGGCCGAGATTGTTCCCCGTCGCAGAACAGGACCTGTATGATGATCAGCCGATCATCATCCCAGAGGTTCATCACAAGAAACGACCGGTCTCAGCTACGGTGACTTCAGCGCAGATCCATTCTCAACCCGAAGTATCAACGCTGACAACAGATGATCGTCCCGTGGGCCCCGTCGCCATCAACGCAGAAAGGGCAGCGCTGGTACCACCGCAGACCTTCCCGGGCGACTTTATGCAGCAGTTCTCCCAGCAGACCATGGAGATAATGGAGGAGCGTTACGGCCTGGAAAAGAGACAGCCAGCCCAGGGCCCGAGCCTTCGCGAAGGCTCCAACGCAGACATCATCTCTGAGGGGCCTGCCATCAACGTGACTTCTGCCAGCAGAACTACACTACCTGACCAGCCTGCACGAAGGTCGACTCAGCCAGCCCCTGCGGAGGACTCAGACGATCAGCGTTCGCGAAGGGCTACACGATCTTCACCTGCTTCGGACTCGGATGATCAATGTTCGCGAAAGCTTTCGCGAAGGAGGAATCGCTCATCCCCGGACCCTGGCTCGAACAACCAGCCTTCGCCACTCCCCAAGTGCGGACTCAGATGAACCTTCGCGAAGGACGTCAGCTACAGTATCCAAGACATCTTCATCCCGTAGATCGTCGAGGGATTCACCAGGACCTTCGCGAACCCACAGTCGCTCATCTCCGCGCAGGTCCCCGCACAGGTCACCCTACAGGCACAGTTCGTCGGGCCATTCACCACGTCGATCTCCCCGCCGATCTCCATGCAGATCCCCACGCAGGTCTCCGCTCAGGTCTCCACGCAGGTCACCACGACGTTCGCCCAACAAGTCTCCGCCCAGGTCTCCGCGTAGATCGCCACCCAGATTACCACAGTCACCGGAGGAGGAGTATCAACGTCCCCTTCTCCAGCACTCCTGTTTCTGAGGGCGATGGCATCATATTTTCGGACTCTGAAATACGTTACTGGATGGCTAATGGATTGGACTTGGCTTCACCATCTAAAGACAATAATCCCGCTCACACCTATCTTATGAGAGATGATGATGTCTACGCTCTCACCTGGATCCCATCGCAGAACCTGGACGCAGCTTTCAAGACAGCTACTAAAGCCCAGGCGCCACACTTACCACAGTTCAACGCCAGGAAGTTCTCCTCCCATAACATGGATCCTTTTCTTAAAGCTCAGAAAATAGACGAGAACTTTAAAGTATTCAGCGATGCCAAGGCCAAGTCTTACAAGATTGAGGACCGCAAGCTGGCTCAAGTAGAATCTATGACCAGAAGAATGTTCTTCGGCCTCAACAGATCTCGCACAGTCAATGAAACGCTCATCGCCAAGTTTCAAGATTTCACTGGCGGAAGAAGATAGAATGATATATTCGGCCCTCTTATGCAGAAGAAGGACCAACAGTTCATGACAGACCACCTTTCGTTTTGATGAAAATCGAAACATAGTGCATATGGGACTGAGATGGGACTTTATAGCAAAGAATCAACTGTCAGGTCAACCGGACAGACAATTCCACATCCCAGCACTATCAACAGTCCTTGGACCACAGGATACACAGGACTTATCCTTATGCCCAGTCAGAGCATTGAAAGTCTACCTACAAAGGTCCAGGACCAGGAGACGAAAATTCAAGCGTCTTTTGATCCCTATATCGGCAGAGACACAGACAGAGATCTCTCGCACTACGATATCTATATGGATGAGAACTGTCATACTACGGGCCTACAAAGCAGCAGGACTTGATCCTCCAAGAGCATCCAATCCACATGAAATTAGAGTGCTGGCGTCTACACTAGCTCTACATCGAAACTGCTCTATCATGACCATCATGGAGGGCTGCTTTTGGAAATCGGACATGGTGTTTACCAACCACTACCTGAGAGACATCGCCACAGAGGACGTCTCAGGTATTCACCATTTCGGCCCTCTGGTTGTCGCACAGCAATTGACAGTTCCCACAGAAGATGAGACGTAGTCTCGCTGTGTTATCACATGACTTATCAAAGCCTACACTCAGCAGAGTTTTGCTTCAGAGTCTATGCACGTCTCAAGACTAGCATAAGTGATAAACCCAGTACTTGTAAGGACTTACTCGTACATATTGGGTCACTTCTCCACTTTGGAGTCGGAGTAAATCCACATTGAAATGTTAACAGAAGTAGGACCAAAAGTTAACTATTGTGGTCCCCCATCAAAGGCAGCTGAAAGAACACGTTTGCATACAGCAGCAGAATTTAGCAGCATTACAGTGCCATTATGAAGTTCCCATAGGGGCGTGGGCGGCGCGTATTTTGACGTAAATCACTCAATTAAATCCTAAAGTGCTTTTTCCCACCACCTTTTCCGTCGGATTCTACAAGCAATTAAGCATGAGTCAGGATAAGGAAAAATATGTAATTTTCTGAATAAAATTGATATTTTATACTTATCCTGACTCATGAGGTAAGCCCTCCCAACCTCCCCACAAGACACTTTGGATTTCCCTGCAAATTCAAGTGTCGGGCTCATATTCAGGAGAGAGTGAAGCATGTGGGGGAACAGTGGCGCCAGTTCCCGCCAAAACGGAAGGAGGGACAACTCTTGGTGAGTAGTGATTAGTGATTTTACGTACGCTTTATTGAAGGGAGCTTCAATAAGGAGATACAAGTGTTCCACTATGTTCTCAAGAGGAAGAAGACAAGCAATTAAGCATGAGTCAGGATAAGTATAAAATATCAATTTTATTCAGAAAATTACATTTTTCTAGTTTTGTTTTACTGAAGGATTAATGTTGGAATCTCATATTAAATATTTTTTTGGTTATTTTATTAAAAAAAAAATCAGTTGAAAAGCTTGAAAACAATTAAAATTAAAGGGCTGCTGGTTAAGAAAAAGCAAATTCTCCAATTTCATATCTGCTAGTTAAATTTTATTGAATTTCTCTATGATAGCGGAATCACAAAATTCATCTGTGACAGGATTCATCTGTGACACGATTGAGCTGGTGCGTTTTTGTGTTGGTATGCCATTGGGATGAGGCCCAAATATCCTCTTTGTGTAGAATATGCTGTGGTTGATATTTTGTTTTTATACCAGTAGTGGTATGGCTGGAGTCTGAGTTGCTAGGACTCTGTTGTGTCACTTATCAGTGTTATGATACTACTAGTAGTTCTAAGAATCCCCTTTTAAGACGCAGGTAAGAATTAGTTTTCCACCACCCATGCTTGTCAGTGACTCAGTGTTGTGTTAGTGAGATCTGAGTATTCAAACTTTTAGAGGGTGAACTGACTCCAGTTTTTCTCCTTCCAGCTACCGATCCAGATCTAGATCCCGATCTCGAAGAAGTCGGAGTCGAGACAGGAGGAAGAGGAGTCGAAGTCGCAGCCGAAGCCGTGACAGACGCAGTAAACGTAGTCGCCACAGCAGCAGAAGCAGAAGTCGTAGCAGGGACAAGAAGAGGAGAGCATCACGGAGTCGTTCTCGAAGCAGGTGAGGAATCTTCCTTTCTGTGTGTTCATCACAAGGACACTCTGTATCATACATGTGCAGTGGGGTAGCCTAGTGGTTAAGGCGTTCGCTCGTCATGCCGAAGACCCGGGTTCGATTCCCCACATGGGCACAATGTGTGATGCCTATTTGTGGTGTCCCCGCCATGATATTGCTGGAAAATTGCTGAAACGGCGTAAAACTAAACTCACTCACTCTGTATCATACATCATGAGGCTTCTGAGTTAGAATGTGTCTCATGACATATAACCTGCTGGTTTTGTAAGAGGCATCTTATAACAGCAGAGTTGTTCTGCTTTTTCTTTATGACATTGCTTGATGCCCTAGAGGGAAATCAAGTTTCCTCAGTTGTGGCGGGCTTTTCATAATATACTGAACAGCAAAAGAAACGCAAGATTCGAAAAAATGAAAGCTCATGAAGGTAAGCGTTCATGTTTATGGAACGTTCATGGTAAAGTGACGTAATGATCACAGATGAGATGATGTCATGCAATTTGACGTCCATACGAACCATTCGCACAAACACACCAACAGTGCAGCAAAACCATAATTTTAGCACGTGCATCGACAGTTCTTGATGAAAAGCATGCATTTCACTCTGAGGTATCCTTTCTAAAGGTTTGAGTCAAAACACAGTTCAGTATTGACGCTGGGTGGTGTATACGCCACACAAACGATGCCTAGACTAAGGACTGAGCAGAGGGGAATGGCCATTGGAAAGCTGCACGGAGGTAGCTTTGAAAACGCTGTAGCTAGACAATTGGGCTGTCATCTTTCCACCATTACACGACTTGCTCAACGTCATCAGCAAACCGGGGTTGCTGCTGATCATCCCCGTACTGGACGGCAACGAGTGACAACTCATGTGCAAGATATGTTCATCCGGGTCACTCATCTAAGGAACCGAACTCAAGCAGCAACAGTAACAGCATCCTTAGTTCTTGGGTCAAGGGGAGCAGTGCCAAGCGATTCGATTAGGTGTCGTCTTCGGGCTGCTAGAATCTACTTCCAAAAGCCATATGTGCGGCCAATTTTTGCACATCAACGCCAGTGACGTTTGCAGCCCTCACACAGCAAGGGTGTCAATGGATTGTCTGGCTCAGAACAACATTTACGTTTTTCCATGGTCATCTCTTTCCCCGGAAATGGCTCCCATTGAGCATTCTGGGACAAAATTGGACGGAGGATTGCTGCAGGTAGAAAGCCACTCACACTTGCGCAATTGGAATAGAGATTGGTGTTTGAGCGGAACCAATTGCCTCATGCATTCTTTAAGACTCTAGTGAACTCAACGTTGCACGGCCTGTGTGCAAGCTCAAGGTGGCTATATGCCAGACTTGCGTTTCTTTTGCTGTTAAGTATATATTTAATGTATAACCTTATGATGTTCAGGTATCAGGAAAGATACCAAGTTAAAACATTGTGCTTGTATTGGTGTACGATGTAAAGCAGTGAAATCATTTGTTTGTAATGCATAACAAATTTTCCGAAGACTTTTAAAGCGGCCTACACACGGCAAATGTTGTCAAACTCGAGTTTGAGAGTGTGAACATTCCAACAACTCGCCACCAACACCAATTTCAGAGTTGTCAAACTGTTGAGAAGTAGGATCGGTCTCTATTCTCACCAACTTTTCCATCAAACTTTCGGTGTTGTCAAACTCGAGTGTGAAGTGTTGTCAAACTCGTGTTGTTTAGAAACAACCAATCACAGTGAACGAAATTGTCACGTGACCGCACCGATAGAAACATGGCGCTCAAATGACACGAAAGTTTCACAACATGTGTTTGACGTGTGAAAACGCAACTTAGACAACTTTTGAAATTTCAACAAATTGTCAAATTTTAGTTTGGCGTGTGAACACCGCTTAACAGTGTCTGTTTTTTAAACCACATCCATATTTGTTTTCTATTTTACACCACTGGATAGGAAATGTAATATTCTACACCTCAATGTAATTATTACAGCCGTATGTAGATCCAGTATCTTTGTAAAGATGTTTGTTAAAAACACCCTTAGCATCCAGGGGTTGATGGTGACGTCACGTTCAGCATTAAGTAGTCTTGGGTTGGGGAAGTAGCATAGATTGTCAGGAAGGTGTTGTCTTGTGTGTATCTGTCATTTTGGCTGTAGTTTCCACTATTTGGACAGAGACAAGGTAATGCTGACAGCATGATTAGGTATGGTCCATTTCTGTTTCCAGGTCTGAAAAAAAATCGGTCAGCAAGTCTAAAAGTCGCTCTAAATCCCGAAGTCGTTCAAAAAGTAAATCGGTGGAACAAACAAATGGTGAGCAAGATGATCGGGGTGAGTCTGATGCCTCTAGAGCCTCATCCCCTGCAAGAAGCGAAAAAGAAAGGAGTGGTTCTCCAAGTCCTGCTGATGATTGAGTATCCCCAAGTCCATGCCCTGCATTGTCCCAACCCTTCCGCTGTGAGGGGAACCGACATCCTTGAAGGAAGTAGAGATTTTCTACAAGTCATGACAGTCAGCATGAGTTATTTGTATTTCTTTTGACATGATGCCATCCATTTCCAAACCTTTCTATTTGTTTTACCATACAATGTATTTTTGCATCAAAGATAACTGAGAACTATCATGTTTTATTTCTTTACTTTAGATGTACTAGAATTTGTGGAAACATTTATCACCAGAAGACAGCATTAATTCCAAGAAAACAGGATTTTAATAAGGTGCTGTTTGAATTAATGTTGTTTTCATGTTGTGCTGCTTGTGGAATTCACAAAGGCCGTTTTTGACAGTGAAGGCACACAGTGGTTAGTTGTAAGCCCAGGGCAGATAAGATCTAGTTTGCATGTTGAACATGATAGAATGAGTAGACAATATTACGTTTTATCCTATTTATGATTGTGTATAGCGTAATAAGAGAGCCATTGATCTGTGGGGTTGTTTTGTTGTGAGGGTGTTCTTTTGGAGGGGTGGGGGGTGTTGGCTACTTTGATATCAGGTGTAATTAGTCCTTCTATTGAACAAACTAATATCAACACTTCACTGTGAACATCTCTGAAAAATGTGGATTGTTGAAGAAGGAACAAACCAATCTATCTGTATCCACCCATGATGGCAGTTTAGCGCCAACATAGAAAATAATATTCTTGTTAAAACATTTGGCAATGAATATCCCCTACGTATCTTAAGTAAGAGGTTTCACCTTGTTGAAGAATCTGAAAACATCCTAGGATTTCCAAGTTAGTGCCCCTCACACTGGTTCCAGCTTGATATGTTCAGATATCAAGTTTGTCAACCTTGTTTTGTCTGCGTCACATCTGCTCATCAGTTTCAACAAAGTGTTCAGCATCTGTACCGGGTGCCTTTCTGGCTCCGTTGAGACATACACTCAGTGAAATACTGTTCAAGGTAGCATTAAATCCATCTCCATGGTGTCCTATTACATAGACTGATGCCTGTGATATCAATCACAGGATTGTCTGGTCCAGATTCTATTATGTACAGACGGCCATCATATGGCAGGAATATTGCTGAGGACAGCGTAAACAACAAATTAAATCTCCGGGTCCAGGAGACAATTCTAAGATACATCGTGATTGGTAATAACTGTCATCACTGTCGTTTTGGGTTTTCTCAACATGTACTTCATTTGAGCTTCATAGTGGCATTTGGCACATGATGAACTTTGACTGGTTGTGGAGTTTTACATGTTGCGTGTTATGTAAATTTGGTCACATGATGCATCACAGCATTGTATGTTTGACAACATTGTGTCACATTGACAGATCACCTTGCATAAACCGTTAGTCATGTGTCGTGTTATTGCATTGAATAATGTCTTGAAACATTGTTAGCATCCTCTATGTCTCCCAAATCATATATCTTTTATTTCCGTAAACCTACACTAACTCTGAATCCATTCTGTGGTTCTTATGAGGACAAATTACCATCACTTGATGTCCTTTTGCCATTTTTACCTCTAACATACCCAACAGAATGTGACTTACAAGCCAGCCTCAATGTTGGGTTGACAATATTAACACCATGGAGGCCAGTCCCTTTGATTTTGAAGTTCTTGAGAAATTCAGTATTGAAAAACTGAAAATCAATTGATGGAAAGGATGTCTTACTGTCAAATACTACTAGTTGGTGGCTTTGGTTTCTAGGTGATGAGTTACCTCCCTTTCTCTGTTCTTAATGTCAAGGTTAAATTGGTTGCTAAAATGGCAATGAAAACCGAGGGTGGGTAACAAGGACCATGGGAATGGCTCAAGAGGTTTAGTGTAGGATTACTGAAAGCCCTTGGTGATAAAGAGGATGCATTATCAGATGTTCTGTGCATTCAGTCATGTTTAAGTCAACATGTCCGATGACTTGGATAATGTGTTGTGACAAAACGTCATGCTTTACGTCAGTTTGTGACATGATACTTTTGTGTGTGATGTAACGCTACTTCCATGGTTTTGACATAAATTACGATCTTATGAAATGTCATACATTGTGTCATGATACTCAAAACCTCTTCCAGTGTCATGACGTTAATCCAATGTGCTAAAGCTGGCGTACTTGTATATTTAACATTGTCTGTTAACATGTGTGCTTATTGGTAACATGTCTGAGTTCTAGACATGCAGGTCGCTTAATTAAACTAATTGTTTTGTCAAGTTGAACACGTCAAACCAGGAAGAAGGCATTGATTTAGGGCCGGGAAATGTCAAATGATTTGTCTCACTTCAATCTTGCTGTAGATGTTCACAAGTTGTACCGTGTGTTTTCATTTGTATCACTAACTCTGGATCTCCACAGTTTTCTGTTTGTAGTCTGGCAGTGATGGGTGACCCTTTTCCTCCATTGTCAAATGTGGTAGATGACCCAATAATTTGCTAGAAGTAACAGGTTCATTTTCTCTGTTTTGATACTTTTTAAGACAGATCATTCTGAAATAAATAATAATCACAAAATGCCAGTTAATTTTGAAGTCAAAAGAAGGTGCTTATTTCACGTAACTGATATTTTATCATCAATGCTTGTCAGTAAGTTTTATTATGAGATTGTTGTGAATAAAAGCCAACAAAAGAAGTCTGTCTCTGTTTTGTTTTCATTTTCTAAGGTGTAACTTGATGAACCAGTAACTTGGAACTGTCAGGATTTTAAAGAGACTGGTGATTGACCTACTTTCTAAATTCTTCAGTGATCACCCGGACTCCCTCATCCTGTGTGATCCTGGATCAGACCATGTTGGTCAATACTGTGCCCATGTTTTGTTTCCAGGGGCGTTCATGAACAACAAAGGTGGTAGTTTTTATGGAGGATTTATTTGCATCAGAAGTTGTGACTTGACTGACATGTTATCGTATCACAATTGTATATGTTCTTGAGAGGCATTTAGAAGTTGGTCTTCAAGTAAAACGCAAATATTATGGATGACAACTTCTTCTTTATTGTATGTCACAACGTTTCTGGGCTATTCCCTGCCCCTTCGTCAGGTGAAGTGTGAACAGGGATCAAGGAGTGTACCTCCCAGTGCCTGGGAAATTAATTAGCTCATTACTGGCTTCTATCTACATCTGCTAATCTCTTGTATAAACAATGCCCATCTTCAGTACATCACTCTCTTCATCTCTTGTTTCTTATCCAATTTATTGTATATACATGCAACACTGGCTTCTTGTACATTTAATATATGATCTCATAGATGTATCTTGCTTGTTACAATTCACCTGACGGGGCAAAGAATAACCCAGAAATATTTCACTTGACGAAATGTTGCAAGGAAAAGGTCAGAAAAGTTGTGACACAACAAAGAAGTTGTCATCCATCATATATTTGCATTTTACACTATTGTATAGTTCAATACTCAGTCGCTGGATCCATACCATGTCTGTGTCGGTCAGCACTGTCCTTATGAACATTAGTATCTGTCCATGTTCATAGGTACCATTGTGATCATGTTTGTCAGTACCCGCCCATGTTCGTTAGTGCTGTGCTCACGATTGTCAGTATCATGGCTGTGCTTCTCAACTGATTACATTATCTCAATACAGCATTATATACATAAACATATGTAAAATACAAAAAGTTCATAGCTACCATGCTCATGTTGGTTCGTGCCAGGTTCACGATTGTCAGTATCATGCCTGTCTTTTACATATCACAGTTGAATAGATCAGCACTGTTCTTATGAACATAGTATCTGCCCATGTTCATAGGTACCATGATCATGTTGGTTCGTGCCGTGCTCACGATTGTCAGTATCATGCGTGTGATTCTCATTTCAATACATTATCTCATTACAACATTATATACATGATATGCATAACATATGTAAAGTACAAAAAGTAAACACACAATCTGTCCATGTTCATAGGCACAATGGTGGTCATATAATGTTTGTCAGTATCCGCCCATGTTGGTTAGTGAAGTGGTCACAATTGTCAGTACCACGGCCGTGCTTCTCATTTGAATACATTATCTCATCACAACATTATTTGCATAAACATATGGAAAATAAAAAAAGTAAACACAGAATCTGTCAATGTTCATGTACAATGGTGGTCATGTTTGTCAGTACCCGCCCATGTTGGTTAGTGAAGTGGTCACAATTGTCAGTACCATGGCCGTGCTTCTCATTTGAATACATTATCTCATTACAACATTATATGCATAAACATATGGAAAATACAAAAAGTAAACACACAATCTGTCCATGCTCATGTACAATGGTGGTCATGTTTGTAAGTACCCGCCCATGTTGGTTCATGTCGTGCTCACATGAAGACATGTACTTTATCTCATTACAACATTATATACATGATATGCATAACATATGGAAAATACAAAAAGTAAACACAGAATCTGTCCATGCTCATGTACAATGGTGGTCATGTTTGTCAGTACCCGCCCATGTTGGTTCATGTCGTGCTCACATGAAGACATGTACATTATCTCATTACAACATTATATACATGATATGCATAACATATGGAAAATACAAAAAGTAAACACAGAATCTGTCCATGTTCATGTACAATGGGGGTCATGTTTGTCAGTACCCGCCCATGTTGGTTCATGTCGTGCTCACATGAAGACATGTACATTATCTCATTACAACATTATATGCATAAACATATGGAAAATACAAAAAGTAAACACACAATCTGTCCTTGTTCATATACAATGGTGGTGATGTTTGTCAGTACCCGCCCATGTTGGTTCATGTCGTGCTCACATGAAGACATGTACATTATCTCATTACAACATTATATGCATAAACATATGGAAAATACAAAAAGTAAACACACAATCTGTCCTTGTTCATATACAATGGTGGTGATGTTTGTCAGTACCCGCCCATGTTGGTTCATGTCGTGCTCACATAAAGACATGTACATTATCTCATTACAACATTATATACATGATATGCATAACATATGGAAAATACAAAAAGTAAACACACAATCTGTCCATGTTCATGTACAATGGTGGTCATGTTTGTCAGTACCCGCTGGTTCATGTCGTGCTCACATGAAGACATGTACTTTATCTCATTACAACATTATATACATGATATGCATAACATATGGAAAATACAAAAAGTAAACACACAATCTGTCCATGCTCATGTACAATGGTGGTCATGTTTGTCAGTACCTGCCCATGTTGGTTCATGTCGTGCTCACATGAAGACATGTACTTTATCTCATTACAACATTATATACATGATATGCATAACATATGGAAAATGCAAAAAGTAAACACACAATCTGTCCATGTTCATGTACAATGGTGGTCATGTTTGTCAGTACCCGCTGGTTCATGTCGTGGTCACATGAAGACATGTACATTATCTCATTACAACATTATATACATAATATGCATAACATATGGAAAATACAAAAAGTAAACACAGAACCTGTCCATGTTCATATACAATGGTGGTCATGTTTGTAAGTACCCGCCCATGGTGGATCATGTCGTGGTCACATGAAGACATGTACATTATCGCATTACAACATTATATACATGATATGCATAACATATGGAAAATACAAAAAGTAAACACACAATCTGTCCATGTTCATGTACAATGGTGGTCATGTTTGTCAGTATCCGCCCATTTTGGATAGTGAAGTGGTCACAATTGTCAGTACCATGGCCGTGCTTCTCATCTGAATACATTATCTCATCACAACATTATATGCATAAACATATGGAAAATACAAAAAGTAAACACAGAAGCTGTCCATGCTCATGTACAATGGTGGTCATGTTTGTCAGTACCCGCTGGTTCATGTCGTGGTCACATGAAGAGATGTACATTATCTCATTACAACATTATGTACATGATATGCATAACATATGGAAAATACAAAAAGTAAACACACGAACACCAAAATCATGTCCGTCAGTACTGTAACCATAATCGTCATTATTTTGACCATGTTCGTCAGTACTGTGACCATGTTCGTCAGTACTGTTACCATGTTCGTCAGTACTGTGACCATGCTCGTCAGTACTCTAACCATGTTCGTCAGTACTGTTGCCATGTTCGTCAGTACTGTAACCATGTTCTTCAGTACTGTGACTATGTTCGTCAATACTTTGACCATGTACATCAGTACAGCTACCATGTTCATAAATACTGTTACCATGTTTGTGATTACTGTTACCATGTTTATTACCATGTTCGTCAGTACTGTTACCATGTTTGTGAGTAATATACCTATGTTCGTCAGTACTGTTACCATGTCCGTCTGAACTGTTACCATGTTTGTCAGTACTGTTACCATGTTCGTCAGTACCGTGACCATGTTCGTCCGTATTGTAATCATGTTCGTCAGTACTGTAATCATGTTCGTCAGTACTGTTACAACGTTAGTCAGTACAGTAACCATGTTTGTCAGTACTGTAACCATGTTAGTCAGTACTGTGACCATGTTTGTCAGTACTTTATTCATTTTCATCAGTACTGTGACCATGTTCGTCATTACTGTGCCCATTTTCGTCAGTATTGTAATCATGTTCGTCAGTACTGTAACCATGTTCGTGAGTACTGCAGCCATGTTCGTCAGTACTGTAACCATGTTCGTGAGTACTGTGACCATGTTCGTCAGTACTGTAACCATGTTCGTCAGTACTGTAACCATGTTCGTCAACACTGTAACCATGTTCGTCAGTACTGTAACAATGTTCGTCAACACTGTAGCCATGTTCGCCAGTACTGTAACCATGTTCGTGAGTACTGTAACCATGTTCGTCAGTACTGTAACCATGTTCATCAGTACTGTAGCCATGTTCGTCAGCACTGTAACCATGTTCGTCAGTACTGTTACCATGTTCGTCAGAACTTTTACCATGTTCGTTAGTACTGTAACCATGTTCATCAGTGCTGTGACCATGTTCATCAGTACTGTAACCATGTTCGTCAGCACTGTAACCATGTTCGTCAGTACTGTGACCATGTTCGTCAGCACTGTAACCATGTTCTTCAGTACTGTAACCATGTTCGTCAGTACTGTCACCATGTTCGTAAGTACTGTAACCATTTTCGTCAGTACTGTTACCATGTTCGTCAGAACTGTAACCATGTTCGTCAGTACTGTAACCATGTTCATGAGTACTGTGAACATGTTCATCAGTACTGTAACCAAGTTCGTCAGCACTGTAACCATGTTCGTCAGTACTGTGACCATGTTCGTCAGCACCGTAACCATGTTCGTCAGTACTGTAACCATGTTCATCAGTACTGTAGCCATGTTCGTCAGAACTGTTACCATGTTCGTTAGTACTGTAACCATGTTCATCAGTGCTGTAACCATGTTCATCAGTACTGTAACCATGTTCGTCACCATGTTCATCAGTACTGTAACCATGTTCGTCAGCACTGTAACCATGTTCGTCAGTTGCTGTGACCATGTTCGTCAGCACTGTAACCATGTTCGTCAGTACTGTAACCATGTTCGTCAGTACTGTGATCACCATGTTCGTCAGTACTGTAACCATTTTCGTCAGTACTGTTACCATGTTCGTCAGTACTGTAACCGTCAGACAATACTCGTCAGTACTGTAACCATGTTCATGTTAGTAATTCGATACTGTGAACATGTTCATCAGTACTGTAACTGTAAACCAAGTTCGTCAGCACTGTAACCATGTTCGTCAGTACTGTGACCATGTTCGTCAGCACCGTAACCATGTTCGTCAGTACTGTAACCATGTTCATCAGTACTGTAGCCATGTTCGTCAGAACTGTTACCATGTTCGTTAGTACTGTAACCATGTTCATCAGTGCTGAGACCATGTTCATCAGTACTGTAACCATGTTCGTCAGCACTGTAACCATGTTCGTCAGTACTGTGACCATGTTCGTCAGCACTGTAACCATGTTCATCAGTACTGTAACCATGTTCGTCTGTACTGTAACCATGTTCGTCAGTACTGAAACCATGTTAGTCAGTACTGTGACCATGTTCGTCAGTATTGTCATCATGTTCGTTAGTATTGTAACCATGTTCGTCAGCAATGTAACCATGTTCGTTAGTACTGTAACCATGTTCGACAGTACTGTAACAATGTTCGTCAGTACTGTGACCATGTTCGTCAGTATTGTCATCATGTTTGTCAGTACTGTAACAATGTTCGTCAGCACTGTAACCATGTTCGTTAGTACTGTAACCATGTTCGTCAGCACTGTAACCATTTTCATCAGTACTGTAACCATGTTCGTCAGTATTGTGACAATGTTCGTCAGCACCTTAACCATGTTCTTCAGTACTCTAACCATGTTCGTCAGTACTGTGACTATGTTCGTCAGTACTGTAACCATATTCATTAGTACTGTAACCATGTTCGTCAGCACTGAAACCATGTTCGTCAGTACTGTAACCATGTTCGTCAGCAATGTAACCATGTTCGTCAGTAGTGTAACCATGTTCGTCAGTACTGTGACCATGTTCGTCAGTACTGTAACCATGTTCGTCAGCACTGTAACCATGTTCGTCAGTACTGTAACCATGTTCGTCAGTACTGTAACCATGTTCGTCAGCACTGTAACCATGTTCGTCAGTACTGTAACCATGTTCGTCAGCACTGTAACCATGTTCGTCAGTACAGTAACCATGTTCGTCAGTACTGTAACCATGTTCGTCAGTACTGTAACCATGTTCGTCAGCACTGTCGAAACCATGTTCGTCAGTACTGTAACCATGTTCGTCAGTACTGTAACCATGTTCGTCAGTACTGTAACCATGTTCGTCAGCACTGTAACCATGTTCGTCAGTACTGTAACCATGTTCGTCAGTACTGTAACCATGTTCGTCAGTACTGTAACCATGTTCGTCAGCACTGTAACCATGTTCGTCAGTACAGTAACCATGTTCGTCAGTACTGTAACCATGTTCGTCAGTACTGTAACCATATTCATTAGTACTGTAACCATGTTCGTCAGCACTGAAACCATGTTCGTCAGTACTGTAACCATGTTCGTCAGCAATGTAACCATGTTCGTCAGCACTCCAACCATGTTCGTCAGTACTGTAACCATGTTCGTCAGCACCTTAACCATGTTCTTCAGTACTCTAACCATGTTCGTCAGTACTGTGACTATGTTCGTCAGTACTGTAACCATATTCATTAGTACTGTAACCATGTTCGTCAGCACTGAAACCATGTTCGTCAGTACTGTAACCATGTTCGTCAGTACTGTAACCATGTTCGTCAGCAATGTAACCATGTTCGTCAGCACTCCAACCATGTTCGTCAGTACTGTAACCATTTTCATCAGTACTGTAACCATGTTCGTCAGTATTGTGACAATGTTCGTCAGCACCTTAACCATGTTCTTCAGTACTCTAACCATGTTCGTCAGTACTGTGACTATGTTCGTCAGTACTGTAACCATATTCATTAGTACTGTAACCATGTTCGTCAGCACTGAAACCATGTTCGTCAGTACTGTAACCATGTTCGTCAGCAATGTAACCATGTTCGTCAGTAGTGTAACCATGTTCGTCAGTACTGTGACCATGTTCGTCAGTACTGTAACCATGTTCGTCAGCACTCCAACCATGTTCGTCAGCACTGAAACCATGTTCGTCAGTACTGTAACCATGTTCGTCAGCACTGTAACCATGTTCGTCAGTACTGTAACCATGTTCGTCAGTACTGTGACCATGTTCGTCAGTATTGTCATCATGTTCGTCAGCACTGTAACGATGTCCGTCAGAACTGTAACCATGTTCGTCAGTACTGTGACCATGTCCGTCAGTACTGTTACCATATTCGTCAGTACTGTAACCATGTTCGTCAGTACTGTGCCCATTTTCGTCAGTAGTGTGACCATGTTCGTCAGTACTGTAACCATGTTCGTCAGTACTGTAACCATGTTTGTCAGTACTGTAACTATGTTCGTGAGGAAGTGAGAGATCAGCTCCCTTTGACGCAAGAAAGTCATAAAGATCAGAGTCACCAGCTTGTACTGCCATCATGACTGGTGTACAGTTGTCGCGATCACTCCTGTTGATGTTGATTGTTTTCAAAGACAGTAAGTGCCTAACTATAGACATGTCACCTGAGGTTCTTGTGAGCCCTGCAATCTTGCTATCTCTTTCACTTGCACACATTAGACAGTCTCTGCCCTTGTCACCAGTAAGTGACACATCAGCTCCCTCTGACATAAGAAGGTGATAAACATCAGACTGTCCGGCTTCAATTGCCACCATGACTGGTGTCATGTTGTTGTGATCTCTCCTGTTGATGTTAATTGTTTTCAAAGACAGTAAGTGTCTAACTATAGACTTGTTACCTCCCTCACATGCATACATCAGACAGTCTCTGCCCAACTCACTAGTAAGTGACAGATCAGCTCCCTCTGACACAAGAAGATGATAAACATCAGAGTGTCCCTTTTCGGCAGCCATCATAATCGGCGTTGTGTTTGATAATGTTCTTTCATTAATGTTGATAATTTCACAAGACAACAAATATTGTACGGTTGAGAAATAACCACTTGCACACGCCACATGTAAACAACTTTGACCTCCCAATATCTTAGCAGAGAGATCAGCACCATGTGACACCAGGAACTTGAGGATCTCCTCCTGTCGTGTCTCAGCACACAACAGTGTAGATGTGAAACCCTCATCATTACAATCATCAATCATACCTGGAAACTTTTCAACAACAACTTTCACAATATCTCTTTTTCCTGAAATACACGCATGATGAAGGCAGCTGTTTCCTTTCCTATCCTTCAATAAAACATTTGCTCCTTCTTGCAGTAGAAAGTTGAACACATCCAACTGTCCAGCCTCTGCAGCAATTATTAGCAGAGTTTTGCTTCCTGCCATCCTTAGGTCTGCATGGTATTCCCCATGATGCTTTAGCACATCAACAATACGTTGCAGGTTCCCCACCTTGCCAGGCTTTATGCAACCTGTGATACTCTCATACAGGTCTTTGACATTTTCAGGGGAAAGATTTTCCTTTTTACTCATCAGTAATAATGACTGACTGAACAGTAAATCATTTTTAGACAGGGAAGTCCAGTATAGAAAACATTCACCAGATGTGCTGTCCTTTCGGTGGACTATATAAGGCAAGTCATTTTTCAGTTCCGTCATCAGTGAGGATGATAATTTATCGTTTCTGAATACAGGGTGGCCTACTGTCCATCTGAAGCAATCTTCACGGATACCCTTCACTATCCTGTTGATCATCAATGGGTAAAGACGGGAAGTGATGTAGATCATGTTTGTCACATCATCAGCTTGGGTTGTCTGTCGAGCATCAGGCATGTTTGGTCTAACCCTTTCATACAAAAACTGAAGGGAACAGTGTTTTACTAATAAAACACTGTTGAGATTCCCAAAAGCACATGCGGCAGCGTCGTGGATGGCTGGATGTGAAAAGGAGGCTACATGATTCTCCACGACACAGTAGGTGCCAGTAAAATTGCTTATCTCTCTTTCTATGTCTGTATCGGTGCATGGTGCTACCTTCTCCGTTACAACATGAAACAGATCTGTGACCTTCTTGTCTGTCCCACACATCAAGGAGGCAAGGTCCAGTTTCCCTCCACACAGGACCAGGAGAATCAGAGCAGCCGATCTGCTGCTGCCTTCACGGACAATGGTGTCAAGGTCACCTCTCAGGTATGTCACCGGTTTCAGAAAAAAGTCCCCAAGACTATGCATCTGGAACACTCGGTTGGTGAAGTACAGTTTACAGGTCAAAGGATATCCAAACATGCTGTCTTTTAACTCTGTAATAGTTTTCATGTCCTTATCGGAGATACTGCAGATTTGGCTTCTGGTCCTGAACAAGGTCATGATCTGTTTCTTTTCTTCAATGGTTAAACATGTCTTGATCATATCAACAATGGTTTCATGTTTTAACAGATTTACTTTGAACTGATGTAGTCTTGAACAGCCCTCATTCCAGTTGTAGTTCCTGGATGTGAAAATGAAGCGAAGCTTGTAGTTGCTTTTTTCAGTCGTTTCGTCCATACTTTGCTTCTCATCTTCCTTCTGTATACCTTTCTTCATTTTCTTCTTCTTTCTTTCTTTCTCGGCTGCTAGCTCCTCGTCTCTTGTAAAGCAAAGTAAAATATCAACCAAGGCATTGAACACTTTGCGTAATTTCTCCAAGCTGCTAGGAACAGCGACAGAACCAAAGATATCGTCAAACGCAACCAACATGTCACACTTTCGCTTAATGACAACATCAATGTCAAACTCTTCAATATTTTCAACAAACAATACTTGATAGTTTTTCTTCATATACGTTTCACAGATCCTGAGAGCAGCAGTAGTCTTCCCATCTCCAGGGGCTCCACAAATTGCAACATGGCTGTGCCTCTTCAGAAGTTCCTCTGCTTTGTGAAGAGCACGGGTTTGTACTAACATATCACTGAGCTGGTTGATCCTTATGCTGAGACTCTCTGGAGAAAATAAGAACAAACATAAAATTAAAACTGAAATTCAAAGTTTGTGAAACTTTGGACCATTCTGAATTCAATGTAATTCTTAATACCACATATAATATTATTTACTGCTGGTATTTTACAGATAATCAATATGACTAAACATTGGGTCAACATGGAAGAACCACCGCAGCTCATTGATATACACTGTGTCATTTATAAGGCAGGTCAGTTATACAGCAGATCATTTATAAGGCAGGTCAGTTATACAGCGGTCATTTATAAGGCAGGTCAGTTATACAGCGGTCATTTATAAGGCAGGTCAGTTATACAGCGGTCATTTCTAAGGCAGGTCAGTTAAACAGCGGATCATTTATAAGGCAGGTCAGTTATACAGCGGTCATTCATAAGGCAGGTCAGTTATACAGCAGATCATTTATAAGGCAGTTCAGTTATACAGCGGTCATTTATAAGGCAGGTCAGTTATACAGAAGATCATTTATAAAGCAGGTCAGTTATACAGCGGTCATTTATAAGGCAGGTCAGTTAAACAGCGGATCATTTATAAGGCAGGTCAGTTATACAGTGGATGATTTATAAGGCAGGTCAGTTATACAGCAGATCATTTATAAGGCAGGTCAGTTATACAGCAGGTCATTTATAAGGCAGGTCAGTTATACAGCGGTCATTTATAAGGCAGGTCAGTTATTTATGTACAGCGGATCATTTATAAACAGCAGGTCATTTATGCAGTGGGTGATTTATAAAGGCAGGTCATTTATACAGCAGGTCATTTATACAGTGGTCATTTATATACAGCGGGTCATTTATGTACAGCAGGTCATTTATATACAGTGGGTTAATTTTATTACAACTGGTCATTTATGTACAGTGGGTCATTTATAAACAGCGGTCATTTAACACAGCGGGTTCAGTACAGCGGATCATTTATATACAGCAGGTTATTTATATACAGTGGGTCAATTACTATCATTTTACAGCGGGTCATTTAATACAGCGGGTCATATGTACAGCGGGTCATTTATATACAGCGGGTCATTTATATACAGCGGGTCATTTATGTACAGCGAGTCTTTTATATACAGCGGGTCATTTATGTACAGCTAGTCATTTATATACAGCGGGTCATTTATGTACAGCGGGTTATTTATAAACAGCGGGTCATTTATTACAGCGGGTCATTTATGTACAGCGGGTCATTTATATACAGCGGGTCATTTATGTACAGCGAGTCTTTTATATACAGCGGGTCATTTATGTACAGCTAGTCATTTATATACAGCGGGTCATCATGTACGGTGGGTTATTTATAAACAGCTGGGTCATTTATATACAGCGGGTCATTTAATACAGCGGGTCATTTATGTACAGCGGGTCATTTATATACAGCGGGTCATTTATGTACAGCGGGTCATTTATGTACAGCGGGTCATTTATGTACAGCAGGTCATTTATATATAACAGCAGGTCATTTATGTACAGCAGGTCATTTATATACAGCAGGTCATTTATATACAGCGGGTCATTTTATGTACAGGGATCATTTATGTACAGCGGGTCATTTATGTACAGCAGGGTCATTTATATACAGCGGGTCATTTATGTACAGGGTCATTTATGTACAGCGGGGTCATTTAATATACAGCGGGTCATTTATATTTATACAGCGGGTCATTTACTACAGCAGGTCATTTATATTAATATACAGCGGCTGGTCATTTAATACAGCAGGTCATTTAATACAGCAGGTCATTTATATACAGCAGATCATTTATGTACAGCAGGTCATTTATACAGCGGGTCATTTAATACAGCAGGTCATTTATGTACAGCGGGTCATTTATGTACAGCGGGTCATTTATGTACAGCGGGTCATTTATGTACAGCGGGTCATTTATGTACAGCGGTCATTTATATACATTTATATACAGCGGGTCATTTATATACAGCAGGTCATTTATGTACAGCGGGTCATTTATATACAGTGGGTCATTTAATACAGCAGCAGGTCATTTATATACAGTCATTTATATACAGTGGGTCATTTAATTACAGCGGGTTATTTATATACAGTGGGTCATTTATGTACAGCGGGTCATTTATGTACAGTGGGTCATTTATGTACAGCATTTATCAGCAGGTCATTTACACACAGAGTCATTTAATACAGTGGGTCATTTAATACAGCGGGACATTATGTACAGCTGTTCATTTAATACAGCGGGTCATTTAATACAGCGGGTTATTATTTACAATGGGTCATTTAATACAGCGGGTCATTTAATACAATGGGTTATTATATACAGAGGATCATTTATATACAGCGGGTCATTTATGTACAGTGAGTTATTTTCAGCAGCTTATTTATGCAACAGACATTTGAAATGTTCATATCTACCATAAAACTTTTTGAAACTTTACTGAACTTAGATGGATGTTGTAACCTTGATCGAACAACTTCAGAACAAAGAGCAGGTCGTTTATACATCTGGTCACTTAAAAACATCAGGTAGTTATCTAGAGTTATCCCACCTTGTGATATCCAGCCTCGATGTCCGCTGTCTCCGAATGCAACGTTGGAGGAGTTGGAGATGTTACATTGTGAAACTGAACCTGGGTTGAAGAAAGGAAAAGAACTCCATTATAATCCATTGAAATTAGACATCTCTCTATCAGACTTGTCACTTGTTAATATCACAGCCTCTCCACTGATGTGAGTGAGATAGGGTGTAAGGGGGTGACATACATTCTAAAATGACCAAAGTCTTCCATGTTTACCACACTAATGATATTTACCGGAAACGATGCAAGACTCAGATGTGAACCACTTTGGTAAAACCTAAAAGCACAGGTCTGATTCTGGCAACCCAAAATACATAATAAATCAATGTAAATACTCAATGTGAACACAAGATCACAGGATGGTTATACAACCAAAGGATTCAACTTGATAAACACTTGGTGCCTTGATTACTTTCTCACTCACTCACACACACACACACACACACACACACACACACACACACACACACACACACACACACACACACACACACACACACACACACACACACACACACACACACACACGCACCCGACCCCCATCCCCTTTTCCTAAAAAAGAAATACAAATGCAGGTTTTGCAAACAGCCTCACCCGGTAGGTAGTAGTGTGTGGTTGTTGAAAATGATTGTACCCCCTGCAGCTGACCTGCCTCTGTGGCTGTGACAGTATCTGTGGTAGGTCTAGCCACAGTGCCATCTGGTGCCAGTGTTGTAGTGGGTTGTCTCCCCGGATGTTGTTTTACCTCTGTGGCAGTGAGACTATCTGTGGTCGCCACAGAAGCACCTGCAGGGGATCCAGCCACAGCGCCACCTGGTGTCAGTGTTGTACTATGTTGTTCTACTTGCTTCTTTCTTTTCCTGGTCAATACAGGACCACCTGCAGGGGATCCAGCCACAGCGCCACCTGGTGTCAGTGTTGTACTATGTTGTCCTACTTGCTTCTTTCTTTTCCTGGTCGCCACAGAAGCACCTGCAGGGGATCCAGCCACAGCGCCACCTGGTGTCAGTGTTGTAGTTTGTTGTTCCACTTGCTTCTTTCTTTCCCAGGTCACCACAGAAGAACCTGTAGGGGATCCAGCCACAGCGCCACCTGCTGTCAGTGTTGTACTATGTTGTTCCTCCTGCTTCTTTCTTTCACTGGTCACCACAGAAGAACCTGCAGGGGATCCAGCCACAGTGCCACCTGGTGTCAGTGTTGTACTATGTTGTTCCCCCTGCTTCTTTTTTTCCCTGCTCACCACAAAAGAACCTGCAGGGGATCCAGCCACAGCTCCACCTTGTGTCAGTGTCGTACTATGTTGTCCTACTTGCTTCTTTCTTTTCCTGGTCGCTACAGAAGAACCTGCAGGGAATCCAGTCACAGCGCCACCTGGTGTCAGTGTTGTACTATGTTGTTCCCCCTGCTTCTTTCTTTCCCTGCTCACCACAGAAGAACCTGCAGGGGATCTAGCCACAGCGCCACCTGGTGTCAGTGTTGTACTATGTTGTTCCTCCTGCTTCTTTCTTTTCCTGGTCACCACAGAAGCACCTGCAGGGTATCCAGCCACAGCGCCACCTGGTGTCAGTGTTGTACTATGTTGTTCCTCCTGCTTCTTTCTTTTCCTGGTCACCACAGAAGCACCTGCAGGGGATCCAGCCACAGCGCCACCTGGTGTCAGTGTTGTACTATGTTGTCCTACTTGCTTCTTTCTTTCCCTGGTCACCACAGAAGAACCTGCAGGGGATCTAGCCACAGCGCCACCTGGTGTCAGTGTTGTAGTATGTTGTTCTACTTGCTTCTTTCTTTCCCTGGTCACCACAGAAGAACCTGCAGGGGATCCAGCCACAACGCCACCTGGTGCCAGTGTTGTACTATGTTGTTTGCCTGGCTGTTGTCTTCTCCTGGTTGTAATAAAAGCATCTGTGGAGGATCCAGAAACAGTGCCATCTCGTGGCAGCTTGTTGTCAGTTTCCATGCTTCAAAACATCATAGTTTGTTCCATCTACAGCATTTAAGGTTCCAAGAAACATGTTGCCATCATACCAATCTGTTATTTTGACCGCAATCCAGTTTTCTGAAATAGTATATACAAACCATATTTTAGAATACTGATTAGTATCGAATTTTCATTTCACTAGTTTAGAGTGAGTGAGTAGTGGTGGTGGTGGTGGTGGTAGTAAGCAGGAATGAGTGAGTGAGTGTTCCAAATAGTCATAATTATTGATGACTCAAGTAATGCTTCTTCAGCATGAGCAAAGTGAACCATTGGCGATAGTATGACTACTAGTAGTAGCAGCACCAGCATTGGTAGCAGTAGTGTGTACGTGTATACATGCATGCATGCGTGAGTGGGTGTTTTTCAGTAATTGTTGATACCCTGGAAGAATTAAAAAGGCTACTTCGGGATCTCTGGCTTGTGACAGCCGACGAAACCAAAGTGCTATCTTACATTCAGTACCTTCAAGGAAACGAAACAATGTGTGACAACATAGCAGAGATGGCGATGAGTCACAGACCTCAGTACAGTGACGTGTTTCACTGCTGTTGTCACATTCAATTTGTCTCACCCGGCCAAGGACTGCACAATGCCTGCATACCCAGGCTGTGGCTATCGCGAATAAAGGATGACGATATGTGTATTATCCTGAAAATTGTGTTGTCCTGTGTGACATCTATCAACAAATATATTGGTTTCATCTAAACAGTATAGATTGTCAAACAGAATCAAAACATGATGATAGCAGGAAAAATACCAGTATGGTTTTATTTCAGGAATGAGCCCTTATCTATTGTCACAAGTTCTGTGTCAATATGTACTACATGGACAAATGAGTCAATGTAGGTTCTTTTATGCAACAATCAGCAATATGTGTATTATTTACCTTGTGAAACGCGAACGATGTCTCTGCCCTGCCAGGTGACAAGAAAGTAAATCCTACTTTCTGTAGTGAGCTACAAGGGGAAGTAACTTGAGCAGCAACAAAATTAAGTCACACACCTGCAGCCAAATGACTCCGTTCAGACCTCAAATCTGTTGACTGTGTTTGATTATAAAATATTTTTCTTCTGTTTGCTTGAATGGGCTGGTATTTTCATTGTACTCAAAACTATTGTCCCGGATGATGTTATAATTTCAATACTATATCATGGTCATAAGACATGAACATAAGTTATGTAGTAACAATGCTTATTGTCTCAGAATATAGTAACTGTTGAGAAACCCTTTTACAGTAGTTATTATTAAAAGTAATTAACATATCACCCATTAAAATGAAAAATATAATTGCAATCTTCTACATCACCCATATTTCAAGATGCCATTTTTTTACAGATTGTCATCACGGTTTTTCAGAATCAGAAATAATAGTGCATCAAATTTTACCACATAACATAATGTGGTTATACTGGTTTGGATACCCTCCTCTAAGGTGACTATTGCTGCTCTATTTAACACACATTGTTAGCCTAAATGCCATGTTAGCTGTGACTTAATCTGGGGGTATCTAAGTATACTGAATCGAAAAAGAAACGCTACCTTTCAGAACCAAATGAAAATGCACCATATCCTGACAACCCTACCAATGAAGGTGAGTCTCGCCTGGTGTCATTCTTGTGTTGACAGAATCGTCATGTCACGACTAACGAGAGATCAAAGGAAACCATGTGCGCAACCATCTGCAGGATCTCTTCACCAGTGCAACGGAAACAGCAAGCCAGACCATTGGGACTCACAACATAACTATGAGTGCCGATATAGTGCATCGACGTTTGCGCGGAAGAAACTTCTGCTGTCAAAAAACATATCGTGGCCCTGTTCTCAACGATCTTCAACACTAAATCTGACTGCAATGGGTATCAAAATTGGCATTATCGAAAATGGAGAACACTGCGTTTTTCTCATGAAAGCCGATACCGTATTTCAACAACCGGTGGCAGAGTGAGAGTATGGCGAAGGCGTGGGGAACGTTTTTCCAATGACTGTATTTTTTAAAAAGAGACTCGTGGGGTGGTCCAAGCAGCATGGTGCGGGGTGCAATCGGTCTGAACCAGAGAGTTGGCCCCGTGGTGTTCCAGAATCACGGCCCAGGAGGAGGAAATGGCATGACAGGTGCTCTCTCTATTAACAAAGTCATAAGACCCCACGTTGTACCACATTTTTGGCGTCACAGAAATCACATCTTCCAGCAAGACAACGCTCGTGCCCACACTGCCAAAGCAACATTGGACTTCCTAAGACAGCATAGCATCCAAACTCTTCAACGGCCTGCACTCAGTCCGGATTTAAGTCCAATCGACCACATTTGGGACGAGATTCAAAGATGACTGAATGACCTCCAGTAGTATACACCATGGGGCTATGGGACCAGGTCCCTCCCAAGGGTTCAATTTAAAAAATGCTACTTCATCCACGACTGGGTACAGTCCCGTCCTGTATATAATATTTATTCTTAAATAAAATAATATTTAACTGGTTTTCAGTTAATATCCGATCGATGTATTTGAGGCTGATAAGGTTTAGATTATCGTACACGTAAATATTTGAGACATGAATCGGATTTATTTCAATAACACGCACTCCATCGAGGCTTACTAAGGGTGTTGATCCCGGTCTTATGACGATACTACACTGTTGGTGATTGTGTTTAGCGAACCAATTCATTGTCAACCCAGTCAAAAGTGTTCGTTCCGACCCACGAGCGTCTGCAAGATAGACACCTACTACGAGCGTGTTGTGTGATTTGAGAGTCAAATTTGAATCGAAAAAATCCCGTTGGTAATCGTGTACGTCGAACCGTAAATATGAAGCCATGTCGTTTGAAGCTAACATGTTGCCCGTGTGACCTGGTATTCGTAAAACCTGTACATCAAATTCTTGAGTGAAAGACGTGAGAAGGATCCCGTTGTTCGTAATTTTGGAAACGTAACCATCGTTTTTGAAAGGTATGTAGGGTGAGGTGTGGGTCATGTCATTCAGCCAGTCGGGCTGTTCGAAGTCTGCTAGTGACACCCGCTCGTATACGTTGTCTTTAAGTGCAGGACGTACAAGGTGTTTTCCTTGCTTGGCAGATCTAATCCCTCCGTATCCCCGAGACCGGCTAGCGTGACGGTGGGTCGATGGTTCATCTCGTTTATATATAATGTGTTACGAAATGGTTTTCAATTAGTTTTCGGATAATTTCTTATAGGTGCACTTCAAGCCTATGAAATGTTTGTTGTCGGGTAGGACTCCCTGCAGGCTGGTGTATGAGTTGACGTTCACCACAACCTAATCGGAGCAAATGTGGTGTTGTTTTTTCTTGGACCAGCGGAGTTTGATCCCACTCACGATTTTGACTTCGCACGATGCAGACGGGGGTTCGCCTAGGGAGACTTGGATGATCAGCGTGGAATTCTCCGGCAGATTTTCCATGAAGTTAACCAATTCGTCAAATTCCTACACCATCTGCAAACTTACGTTTTGCATCCAGATTTGCCTGATATTGTGTTGGCTATTTTTTGCGAGAGCGGGCTTAGGATCAAGCTGCCTCTTTGCGTTGGGACGTAAGCCAAGAGCATAATCCCCTTGTTCACGACTTTGGTTAGGTAGTGGTATTTGATTTCTGTAAAAGAGCCAATCGTGAACATGAAAGTGTAAGGCATGTTTTGAGCGACGACCGTGGTCTCGAAGTCATTCAGGTCGAACAGCTTGCCGCCGAAGGCTCTGGATATCGCCCATTCGTCCCCGTCTTTGCAGACAAGGTCGTACCGCTCATTGCTGACCGCTCCTTCGGTGTTGACCAAATCGCTTAGGGCACTGATGTTGTTGTTGCCGCCTTAGGCTGTCACTTCGATGCGTTTGTAAATGGTGTTTTTCAGTTGCAATGCATACAGTTTGCCCTTGATTCCGGGCTCGTCAACTCCATGCGTGTCCCCGAGATCAGAGAGCGCGATGGTAGGACATTTTCTCGGTCGCATGCTCATTCCCGGACCCGAAGCTTTGGTCATTGTTTTTGTACGTGCAACGTCGCGCTGAGATGTCCTATACTTGTTTTATCGTGTTTAATGTCTAAAACTGATATTTTCAATTCCGTGATGTTGCCCCAGATTACTTTTTTGTACTGCCGTGATGAAAACGATTCGGTTCTACCGTCGTTGCACTTTTCTGTTTTCACCGGCACGGCTCTCAGCAGGGTTGAAGGTCGTTCGCTACAACGTTGTTGGTCATGCTTACCTGATCGAGATGAACGAACACCTCATGATAGACGACGAGGCTGGGATATCTCGAACACGCGGCGGTGATTTGCGGTCGTATGTCGTTCCACCAAGATTTTACCGAGCCTGATGGATTTTTTTCCTGTCTTTAACTTTATCGTGCCATTCGACGCGTTGTGTTTGAGGCTGGCTCTGATGGGTTTGACAATTTCGTTTTTCAGCATGCAAAGGCTGTAATAACCGTCGGACAAATCGTGGCGAATTCCATCGATGAATAACTCGCCACTCGTGATTAACGGAAGCGTCACGTACATATTAATAAAGAGGATATGTATACTATATAACAATTCCAATATGTATAAACCGAGAGTGTTTTATTCTAAAAGCGATAATATAAGTGCTACCAATCTCATGCAACCGAATATTGTGGTCGATGCAAAGGATGGTTCCCACTTTCGAGTTCGATTTATTTATGTATTTAAAAAGCATAGGCTTTCAATCATGAATGCGAAAACAGTGTACGCTTTGTTTAACAACCCGATGCAGTGGTGGCAGAATCAATTCAATTTCGCCGTGTGGGGCACGCCAACGGGGTGTGGCATGACGTTGAACGACACTTGTCGGGGTCCGCTGAGTCAGTCTGTGTTCCTTATGACGTGTACTACCAGATTAGACATCTTTTGAAAGAAATTAGAGCCCCGATCCGCAGGACAAGGCGTGGTATGCTGTAAATAATCCATACGATCGGCGAGCTTACGAACGGATTTGTGGTGATTTCAAAATCGATCCAAACACAGATTGGCGTAGACCGGGTACGAACAACCGGTTGGGCATTCCATACAGTGGAGCGAAATCCATGAAAGAAGTCAGTGAATGTTAACT